ATATATATATATACATATATATATCAATATTTTTTATCTATTCAATTATTATTACTGTATTGCCGATTATTTCGAGACATGCTTATTTAGTAAATAAGTGTTCAAGTCGATACTCTGTACGTGCAAGTTTTGGAACTATCAGTGATACTTGAATAATAATACTATGAATATGAATATAAATAATCAAGTAAAAAAAGGATATATATGTAAAGATATTTTCCTCTTCAACCACCATAATTTAATTTGTATTTATATAATTATTATTTAAGTATTGCTAATATTTTGAAACTTATTTATGTAATAATGTGTCCATAATCTGTGCGAGTGTGATTCGAAATTGTTAGCATTGCTTGAATAATGAAAATAAAAATAGAAATAAAACAAAGTAATAAATAAAAATATGTATATGGCAGATGTTTGCCTCTTCGATAATCAAACTAGAGACGTGATTTTTAGAGGACTGGCTTGTCTTACAAGTCACATCCGCCACGGCAATTCGAGTCCCGTTCAGTTCAACCTGAACGGTAGCCAATGTCGTCCCGACACGGAAGAATATGAGTGTGTGTGTGTGTGTGTGTGGGTGGGGAAATCTGCCCAGTAGAGGCGTAGATCACAGAACAGGGCGAGCTGGTGTGATGCGATTGCGGCAAGAATTTGCCCTACAGAAAGACGCAAGTGCCGTCGTCTCGAGACCCACCTGAGCAAAGCCTGGTGCCTGGCCTGGATGACGTAGCGCAGCAGCAGGGGTCTTGTGCCGGCGTGTCGGTCGCAGAAGACCGCAGCCCAATAGCCGTGGCTGGGGTGGAGTGGGGACGAGCCGGCGGCGCCGGGCTGCGCGGCGAGGAGGTGACAGACGTCGGGATCGAGTCTGACCGACTCGAGGCCTCGATGCGCCACGAGGTCGCCGGCCGTGCAGACGCCGAGCCCCACGACGCCGAGACCCCGGAGGCTGTCTGGTCGGGGAGGGGGGCGGTCGGTGACTGGCGAGTCCGACGTCGGCTGCCCACTCAACTCGGCCTCGAGGAGGAGTCCGGCCAGAGTGGCGTTGAGCTCGAGTCCCGGTCCGCCGACGGCCCGGCTGCGCAACAACAGACCGGCCACGAGGCTGAGCTGATGCAGCTGCGTCGCCGCGCCTCCGCCCGACACGACCGGACTCAACAAGACCGGCATCGAGGCGACCAGACGCGGCCACAGCCTTGGCAACAGTCCGGCCAGCGCCAGCTGATGTCGGTTCGAGGCCGGCACGTCGGCGTCCACGTCGGCGTTGGCGTTGGCGTTGGCGTCGGCGTTGGCGTTGGCGTCGGCGGCGCCGAACAGACAGTCGCCGGTCTCGAGGATGCCGGCCAGTCGCGACAACTCCGACGCCTCGAGCTCGGCCGCTTCACCCGGCGGCTTGTCGTCGACGTCGACGACAAGCCGCCGGGTGAAGCGGCCGAGCT